ATTCCGTCCTGTACTCGCAATGCTTTTCCATAGCGTTTAGGTCCGTTTGACAGAACGCGCAAAACATCCGATCAGCTCAATTCACTGAGTCAATGCAAGCAACAACTTCAAAAATTAATGTTCATAGAAAAATTAAATTATCCTTCTTGCAGCAAGTTTCGTTTCCTAAAACAAAGCGCTCCGTACTGCAACTCATAAAAATGGGTAAAAGCCCAACTTAAAAACGTGCAATCATCTTCAAAATTGCATGACATGAGCCCTCAACCGCTGTGAGGTCAGTAAAGCAAGAATTTTCCGACATTTTCACTTATGCAGCGAATAGCAGCGGTCGGCATCACATTATCCATTCTGCGTTTTAAAAACAAAGTGCTCCGAACTCCAACTCAAAAAAATGGGTACGAGGCCAACTTAAAAACGTGCAATCATCTTCAAAAGTGCATGAGATGAGCCCTCAACCGCTGTGAGGTAAGTAAACCAAGAATTTTCCGACATTTTCACTTGTGCAGCGAATAGCAGCGGTTGGCTTCACATTGACCATTCTGCGAGTTTAAAAGAAAGAACTCCGTACTCCATCTCATAAAATTGGGTACGGGCCCAACTTAAAACCGTGCAATCATTTAAACTCGCAGAATGGTCAACGTGAAGCCGACGGCTGCCATTCGCTCCACAAGCGAAAATGTCGGAAAATTCTTTGTTTACTTATCAGACAACACCGGAGGGGTCATCTCATGCAAATTTGAAGATGATTGCAATTTTCGTTGAACAATTTTTACAACGTTGCCTTATTGTACAATACCCGCCATACAGCATTGTAATTTAATTCGTTTTTTTTTCTATGTAAAAAAAGTCATCACTTCAAAGGAGCATTTTCTATGACCCCGGGCTATCCGCAATGAAATTTTACGTTTTTCTCATTCCCTTGATCTGTAGAAACTAAAACCAGACTTCACATCGTTGTACGATCCACGAACAGACAGCTAGTTCTTGATGAATTTTGAACTCTGGACGGAGCGAGGACCGCAATTTACGAAGGCCACGAAGAAAACCGCGTATATACATAAGATAGGTTTGTGTCATAGACGTGTTTATAACATCAGACATACAACCGGTTAATAGTAAAAGTCAAGAATCTATTTATTCAAACAATCATAAAAACTCGTATATACATGTAGGATACGCATGCGACTTAGGTAAAAGTTGGATTTTCACGAAAACGAAAAGTCGTATCAAAATTCGGTCTGAAGAGTTCTCCGATCTTCGATAGTGTAAAAGAATCGTATCGGGCTGGGGTGGATTGGAGGAGGGTAATTTTCTGAAAATATTTTCCAGCGTAGGACTTTGAAAATTTTTTAATATCCCGAATCAGACCCTCCTCTCCTTCACCGATACCAGCCCCATCCTGGAGACTATGGTCTATTGATCCCGAAAATTTTACAAGTTTTCGATTCATCAAACTGAAATTGCAATATGCAATCCCAGTTGCTAGTTCCAAAACACAAGGTTCGGATCCACATCTCCAAGCGCACACCGCTAACAATTGAAATTCCCGGATCAGACGCTACTCTGCAGTCACTGATACCAGTCCCATCCTGGAGGATATGGTCCATGCGACTCAGGTAAAAGTTGGATTTTCTCGAAAACTAAAAGTCGTATCAAAATTCGGTCTGTACAGTTTTCCAATCTTCGATAGTGTAAAAGAATCGCATCGGTCCGCTACGGATCGGAGGAGGGTAATTTTCCGAAAATTATTTATTTTCCCGAATCAGACCTTAATCTCCCGTCTCCGATGCCAGACCCATACTGTAAGATATGGTATATCGTGGCGTGGATGCCGTCAAAAGTTTACAAGTCCGAAATCTCGAAAACAAAAAGTCGTATCAAAATTCGGTCCGCACAGTTTTCCAATCTTCAATAATGGAAAAGAATCGCATCGGTCCGCTACGGATCGGAGGAGGGTATTTTTCCGAAATTTTTCTAATATCCCGAATCAGACCCTACTCTTCAGTCTCCGATACCAGGCCCATACTGGAGGATATGGACCATTGGCGGAGGGCTCATCTCATGCAAATTTGAAGATGATTGCAGGTTTTTAAGTTGGAACGAGTCCAACTTAAAAACCCATTTTTATGAGTTGGAGTTCGGAGCACTTTGTTTTTAACACGCAGAATGGACAATGTGATGCCGACCGCTGTTATTCGCTGCACAAGTAAAAATGTCGGAAAATTCTTGCTTTACTGACCTCACAGCGGCTGAGGGCTCATCTCATGCAAGTTTGAAGATGATTGTACGTTTTTAAGTTGGGCTCGTACCCATTTTTATGAGTTGGAGTTCGGAGCACTTTGTTTTTAACACGCAGAATGGACAATGTGATGCCGACCGCCGCTATTCGCTGCACAAGTGAAAATGTCGGAAAATTCTTGGTTTACTTATCAGACAGCACCTGAGGGGTCATCTCATGGAAGTTTGAAGATGATTGCACGTTTTTAAGTTGGGCTCGTACCCATTTTTATGAGTTAGAGTCGAGCGGTCGAGGTGTTCCATTTTCTCACAATGAAGATATAAGTCACTCATCTTATTCCTTTACAAGTTAGAGCGCGCCAAAATTATTCAGAACGTTGTCTCTGTGCCCGATGTATGTCCAACGGGTGATACTGGGATGTATCAGCATGGATTATTTTAACTTGTATAGCTTTCTTTTCTTTATATGATTTTTCTGTTTATTGTACCGAATTGTAGAATAATAAAAATGTTTGATTCATGAAACTGAATATTGCAATATCCAATCCCAGTCGCACATCGCAAAACACAAGGTTCCCATACGCATCTCCAAGCGCACACTACTGAAAATGGAGATTCCCGAATCAGACTCTAATCTCCAGTCTCCGATTCCAGGTCCATACTGTAAGATACGGTCTTTCGTTGCGAAAATTTTACAAGTCCGAAATCTCGAAAACAAAAAATCGCATCGAAAGTCGGTCCGTAGAATTTTCCGATCTTGGATAATGGAAAAGAATCGCATCGGTCCGCGGCGGATCGGAGGACGGTAATTTTCCGAAAAATTTTTCAATTTCCCGAATCAGACCCTAATCTCCAGTCTCCGATACCAGACCCTCACTGTAAGATACGGTCTTTCGAAACCGAAAATTTTTACAAGTCCGAAAATCCGAATTTTTTTGCACAATCTGGCAACATTGTATCGAAAAATTAACTAATTTCTTGCCCCATCTGGCAACACTGTAAAATGTGATATTGCAAAATTTCACCAATAAATAAATCATTTATTTAAGTGCACCGTCCGGCAACGCTGCTGCGCCATCTTGAAAAATACATCGTTGCATAAACCACAGATTGAAGGGGCTACATTACACAATTGCATAACCCGCATATTGAAGGGGCAACATGCAATATTTTCTTTTTACAGCGTTGCCATATTGAACAATAATCCCTATACAACACTGTAATTTAATTCGGATTTTTCTGCACCATTGTGCAACGCTGTTGGACATTTTACTGCACTAAAGTCCTCATTTTCATACTCCTATCTTTGTCCTCATACACAATCAGCAGAATTAGCATTGTAGCCACGGCCGCCATCTTGGATTTTGAAATTCAAAAAATCTGACTAAAAATTCGAGTTTCCCGTTGAAAAATACCTCCGGATACCGAGTCTCACGAAAATCGGGTGAATAGGAGCCGACTTAGCATTTAGCCACGGCCGCCATCTTGGATTTCGGAATTTTGATAATCTGACCAAAAATTCGAGTTTCCCGTTGAAAAATATCTCCGATTACAGAGTTTCACGAAAATTGAGCGAACAGGAGTAGACTTAGCATTTTAGGCCACGGCCGCCATCTTGGATTTCGAAATTTTGAAAATCTGATCGAAAATTCGATTTTCCGTTGAAAAATACATCTGGATACCGAGTCTCACGAAAATCGAGCGAATAGGAGCCGACTTAGCATGTTAGGCCATAGCCGCTGTCTTGAATTTTGAAAATTTGAAAATCTGACCAAAAATTCGAATTTCTCGTCGAAAAATACCTTCGGATACCGAGTTTCACGAAAATCGAGTGAACAGGACCCAACTTAGCATTTTAGGCATTAATACACAACAACGCCGCCAGGGATGAATCCGTCCATGAAGTAGTACGACTAGGAGGCTCCAATCGTGGCATTCTTCCAAAAAAGCGCGAAAACTTATCGGTTTGAAAATTCAGATTTTAAACGCCAAGTACATTTTTTTTCAATACGAGATTAAAACACAGACCAGTTTTGAATTATCGACAGTATCACCATGATTCCAATTATACACTGCACAACATATCATTCGCTCACAAGAAAAAACAATGAATTAAAATAAAATCATGGCAAGGTCCACAGCCGAAAATGGCGACGATTCCCATCTACCAACGCGCGCTCTAACCAATGGTGGATGTACCATTGGTAACATCCACTGCAGACACCGATCGGAATAGCAGCTCTAGGTGCTAGGATCAGAGCCGCTAAAATACATACGGTCTAAAAAGCTCATCATGGCGTCTTTCCACGGCAGTAGATCTACCCAGAAAGAGGAAACAACTCAGGCGCACAGCATTCCGCGCATGGTCGGTCCGATGTCCTATTCGATTTCTACAAAAGTGTACGTTTTAGATAGAAAAAAACGAGGAAAAAAAGTTGAGATCCGTGATTTCATCCGGGCTCTTTTAAGAACAGCTGGGTATATCAAAGTCTCCTCTTTACTTCTAAAATTGAATGTCCCATGGTTCGAAAACCACCCACCTTGGATAAATGAAATATTCTGGGGATGATATGAAAACTGCGTAACGGTCGGACAATGAGTGTTTCTACACAAATAAAATTAATATAGTAAAAAATCCGAATCGGGTCATTTTTGAACTGAGATTCAATTTACAATGATCCATACACGAGACGCTACAAGATTTTCACGGACACCATGTATTAACTCATAGATGTAAGAAAGTGATCTGATGAATTGCTTACCTATGAATAAAAGATATCCGGCGTAAACAGGTGGAAAACCAATGACTATTTGATAAAATATAAGAGCATATGAGAACCACATGGCTGCACAGACATCATTGCAGATATGTCCCAAACCATATGCATATCTCTCATATTTGGCCAATCTGAATGTTTCTTTTTCATCCAGATCGCTCGAATCCACCAGGAGAGGGCTATCTTCTGCCGTTGAATGTATTTCATCTTCCTTTTCAGCCATGTTCTCCGAGCAAGTTAGTGATCAAATTTTATTACGTTCTGTCACTCGCTGATGAAAACTTCTGTTTGTCTATGTAAAAGAAACATTTTACCTGAAAATTTTAATAAGAAAATAAGAAAAATTAATCAACAAATTACTTTTCAGATACAAAGTACTTGAATAGATATTCAACTTAAATTATATGATTGAAATTTGCTTGAAAAACAATCGAAAATAGAGGGAACATCAATGACTGAAGTCGATCACTGCATCTACCTATATCACTGTCTAAATTGTTGTATACTTAGGTCTCAGCTCATGTTTTATTTCTGTAAAAATAAATTTAACCGTCACATTTCCCAGAAACCTCACTGAAAAATATAATACTTATGCTGTTTTCGCACCTAGTATGTCAAAACTGTGTCTGGTGATCCGAAGATGCTGCCTTTACTGCCCTGGCACTAAGCTTTACATCCTATGAATGCAAAGTCAACTGCGTGGGCAATCAAGGTAGCATCTTAGGACCGACAGACATATTTTTGACATCCTAGGTGCTAAAACAGCATACCATTTTTTTCAAGGCGTTTGTGAATTTCATTAATTTACATCAAAATGTGAGCAGACACTAGGCATACCGGGGTAGTCCGGGAATCATCAAACTTAAAAAAATTGGCGGTAGCTTAACCTAACTAGAGGAATCTGCTCTGTTATTGACAATCCACAATCTGTTAAATTTTATCTAACAATATTTAAATACCGCTGTTAAATATAAATTTAAAAATAGTATTTGAAATCTACCGGCATACCGGGGTTTTCAGGGACTGGAAGGGGTGCGCCCCCTGAACCCCCTGTCACTCGCTGCGCGAGTGAAATTCGGCACATTTCTGATTAGTTGGACATTCGCACTATGATGTATACATTTTGGAGACTCTCAAGACAAAAATAATTTTGTAATAGAACCTTGTTGCCGGAGCGTGCCATCACTTGCACATTAATAAGTATGTGGAAATGAGGCAATGATGGGGATCGATCATTTCTTCAAAATTGCATTTGACTGGGACGTTAGTCTCATCGGGTGGAGGAAAGTGACAACCGTGGATCTCTTGCGCAATTTGACTTGCTGAAGTAGCAAAAGTTCATCTTTACTTCGAAAGAAGATCATCGGTGGCATAGAGATTACTTAAAAACTGCTCAACGATAAGATAGTCCGAGTTCCGAATAGCTATGAGCCCACACGTTTTTTTTTTTTTTTTTTGGCGCGTGTTCGTAGTAGGTATACCGCCTTTGCGATCGTTTTGACCCCCCACTCGATACAATAACCGAGTCCCTTAGTTCCTTACCGGAAAGTGACTGCCGCGAACTTCTGAGATTTTCCAAAGCGTGTAAAAAATTACTAATCCGTCAATAATTATGATTTAAAGTTTTTTGTCATTCTGGGGGTTTCTAGTTTATGTGCAATGAATACCACGAGTCTACGTTACTTGGTTTTTTTAACAAAAACCTAAGAATGCTCCGCGCTAATTTAAAATATGCATATATAAGCAGAAGCAAACGAACTGATTCGAGGATGGCTGAGCGGTTCAGCACTCTTCGAATGAGAATTTCACTACTCCGTTTTGTTCAAAACGTTGCTTTGACAGATCTCCACACCCCTGTTATGCGGTTCAAAATTTGGTACCACTGCTCTGACAGCCAGGGCCAGCCAGGGCAGCCGTAAGTGCAATCTGTCATGAGCCTCGAGACTCATTAGAATATTTGCTAAACGTGGCTCATGCAGGAAGCTACTTGCGCACATATGGAAATCTACCTACCCCTTTCTTCCCCGCGCGCCTGACCCCAGCGTCGGCTTCTCGAAAAACACAATAGCTCGGCTCCCGGCGAGGCGGCCGCCGCTTAACTTACGCTCGATTAACCATTTCACCGTCACGCTAGGCTTCGTCCAATTTTTAAAAAAATTGGTTCGCGTGTACCTAGCAATTTTTTCCTTACTCTCCGTTAAAACACGAATGGAAAGAGGTCTCATTCATAAAAATCGGCCGAATAGAAGAGAAGTTACAGTATTCAAAATCCGAAAAAATCAACAAAACCACGACCTCCCCATGAAAAAATTAAATGAAAGGGGGATAAGAAGAAATGTAAAAATTACAATTAAATATAATTGACCTCTGAATTTGACAAGCAGTTCCATTATATAACGGAAAAAAATTAGGAGTGATTACAAAAAATACGCCTCTTGCAAGGGGCTTCCTTGTAAGAATTTTGACCTGAAGACAAGGGTCGAATAGCAGCAGTACTCCATACAATACACAGTATGCCTCAACGAGTTAAACATGTATTATACGTCCAAATCGAAAATTCTTTATATTTTTAACTACACTGTCTCTTGAGTCGTTTAAACAAAAAAAAAAAAAAAAAAAAAATCCGTCGAGATTCTGGATCGTAAAGGCGCTTTAAAAGTATTCTGGGGCTATAATAGCTAAATCGTCGGTAGTGAATCTCGTTACATTATTAAAAAGGAATTGACTCTGTAGTTTAATGCCTTAGTTTCTTGAATACGATTATTTAAACCACTCAAATATTTATACCACCAGTTTTAGCCATGAGGTGATTTCCTGAGAGCCGATAACACCACGAATTTCTCATAGAACCCTTCAAAAATGGTTTGCTTTTTGGGCAGCCAATTCGGCCATCGAACCGGGGTTTAAATGGAAGCTGATAATAACACAAAGTTCTGAGAAATATTTTAAGATGAGTATAAGAACGGTTTGTAAATAACGAGGAGAGGCAGGCAAAGCGGCTAAAATCCGATCTAATTTTGCTGTCTTCCTGTTGAATTGATGTTGCCACGGACTTCTAACTGTGTCCACAAATGGTTTCTGTTCAGCATATCGATACGTACGTATTTTTACATGGAGAATCTAATTTTCACGTCAGGGAGTAGACATATTTTGATTTTCGACTTTATACGGAAAATTTATGGTTTTTTTCAGGATAGAAATTACTTATTATTGTTTCATGAAAAATAAATGCACCCAACATGACTATAGCATATTGACTTTTAAGTACATATGTGCACTCACGAAATTGATTCGTAAATTCAACGAGTGGGTACATCGACCTGGTATATCAAGTTTCTGCGCTATTTTATAGCAAATCGGTAGATTTTGAGGATGTAGATTTCTTACTTTCAATTCATGAATGAATAAAGCATGGACATGGTTGAACTGCTTTGCATGGAAAGACGTTTAATATAACAAAATCAAGACATCATCATCATCATTAATTTATACAAACTTCGAATGATTCAGACTTTCAGCGATTCTACCTTTTTCTATTTCACTCGAGAGGTTGCCAGATTGTGCGATAAATGTGAATATTTTACATGGATTTGAATTGGGAAAAGTGCTAAAAAAGCAACTTATCTGGCAACAATAGAGTCCGGGAGGGAGGAGAGGCAGCCTACCTGGGAAAACCCATGATTTAGCCGAAAATGTCATTAAAACAATTGATTCCGTTTGAAGCATCAACTGCATACCAGGGAAAAGCTATTTTAAAATAATAATTGTAAATGGACACAGATGCTATAGAAAGGGAAAAAGGAAAGGGAAAGGAAATGAAATGAGGATATGATTACTGATATGCAATCTGAGAGAATAAAACAAAAACCTCAGAGAAATCTATATGCAATGAATAAGAAAAAAACACGAGTGGGCTCATTGGCATCACGAAATCATTTTTGCACATGAATAGATGTGTGGAGATAAGGCGATGATATGGATCGATCATTTCTTCAAAAACGCATTTGACAGGGACGTCATCCCATCGGGTGGCGGAAAAAGACAATGCATGGATCTCCTTCCGCGATTTGACTTGCTGAAGTAGCAAAAGTTCAACTTTACCTCTTAAGAAGATAATCGGTGGCGAAGGGGTCTAAAAACTGCTCAACGATACTATAGTTCCAGTTCCAAGCAATGATTCCACTCGTGTTTTTTTATTATACTTTCATCGCATATAAATTTCTCTGATGCAATGGTTTTATTTTATTGTCTCTGATTGCATATTAGTAGGTAATCATATCCTCATTTCATTTCCTTTCCCTTTCCTTTTTCCCTTTCTGTAGCATCTGTATCCATTTACAATTAATATTTTAAAATAGCTTTCTCCTAGTATACAATTGATGCTTCGAATGGAATCAATTGTTTTAATGACATTTCGGGCTAAATCATGGGTTTTTCCAGGAAAGCAGCCTCTCGTCCCTCCCGGACTCTATCGTTGCCAGATAAGCTGCTTTTTTAACACTTTTTCCAATTCCAATCCACGTAAAATATTCATATTTATCGCACAATCTGACAACCTCTCGAGTGAAATAGAATCGCTGAAAGTCTGAATCCTTCGAAGTTTATATTAATGATGATGATATTAATGATGTCCTTTCACATGGAAAGCACAACATTTTCATGAAGTGCCATGGAAACCAGGTCACTTCCATAGAACTTTTGTGGGAATAAAGTAGGTAAAATATTTCTTTGTGAGCTCGACATAAAACTCACAACACTTTCATGCAGCTCACATCGCAGGCATAGGTCTTTTGCCACACTGTGTAATGAAGGGAAGAGAACTTTAGCGTCCAGCCCACCTCCAAACTAGGGACTTCAAAGAGGCTCATCGATGGAACTGTTGACTGTTGAAAGCCAACAGGCTTTGCCGACGATCTTTGAATGTAACCGATTGTGTTTGAGATACATCACAGATCAGATCTGAAAATTTTCAAGGAATTCCGTGCAGAAATGGCTGAGAAATAGAAGAATTGGTGCCAGTTTGAGGGCCCCAGTTTGTAAGTGGGCTGGACGCTTTTAGTGAGATCGCTAGTAGCAAAACTAGTTGCACCAACCGTCGTAACCCAGAGTGGCATCCAGGACTATGAGCATAATATCCATACAGTTGGTCCGTAGTTGTGCTTAGCTTCTTTTTGTATTGCCCCGGCAAATATTTAAGATATGATTACTTAATGTAAAAATTAATAAAACCGCATTTGTTGGCATTTAGAGTTAAGGATGAAGAAATGTATAGCATGATTGCCGGTGATACGATAGGTAAGTTTATGTTGGCAAT